GAGAGAGAGAGAGAAAGAAAGGGAGAGAGAGAGAGGGAGAGAGAGAAGGGAGCCTGCATGCCATTAACAGGGAGAGAGAGAGAAAGAGAGAGAGAGAGAGAGAGGCAATGAGTGGAAAAAAGAGAGAGAGAGAGACCAACCTGCATGCCATCAATGTCTAACTTGGCCTTCAGTCTGTAGTTAGGCCCCAGTCCTGGAACAGCCAGCAGCTGCTCATAGCACACCAACAGAAGGTCATTAAACTGAAAGGACATTGACACATAATGATGGGAGATCTATATTGAATAATTGCTCTATAGCATAAAAATTAGATCTACTTGATCTCTGCTTTAATGTCTCCTAAATTATTGCTCTATTTTATCTTCTATATATTCATTCTTTTATATATGTTCATATAAATTTATGATTAACATACACAAATTGAGGTCTGATTAATAATCCCTACCCATACTTTCCACTGTACATTAAATAAACAATAAAAATTAATTGCAGAATTACAAATAAGCCCAAAAATAACGTAATTTGCTTAAACAGATAACATGTTTTGGGGTCTAAAAATGATTGAATAAATAAAAAAAAATTAAGGGCAATTCAGCATGCCTGATGAAACTGACCACTCACCAAAAAGAGATATCTGCTCATTTCTTGACCATTCCTGGCAGATATTTTACCAACTGGACCTTCCTTGATTAGCTCTCTGGTTGGGTTTATCAAAGACACTGTATTCCCCAGACTCTGTTCAATCTCCTGTAGTTTCTTAAACTGATCCTGGAAGAAAAGTTTAATAGCTAGAGTTGCCTTCTCTTCATGTTATTGAGTGCACTACCCTTTTTGTAATTAAGAAAAATTTACCCAGAAACAATTGGGGTAAAATTACATTATACAGTGTCATAAAAATTCAAGTAAAAAAGTAATGTGCACTGCTGAATACACCCTATGTTCAACAGAAAGTGAGAAAATACAAAGGGGCTGAAAAAATATGTCAAAAGAATATCAAATGGTATTCCTTTGCCATTATCCAAAACTGATCCAAACTGACTTTTTACCACAGCCAGTATATATATATGGGTTAATATGTACGTGGACTTCTTATAATTTTTTCATTTAAATCATACAAAACTTACAATTTTCTTCATGGCTTCATTGGAATGTGATGCTGCAGTGGCCACTAAATTCAGAGCCTCTGAAAAAGTAAAACCCAATACGTATCAATAATTTTTACTTATCCCTTTAAATTAATGAAATACATTTTTTTAAAATATGCACTAGTCTAGAGATCTAAAATTCAGCCTTTACACATGATAAATGCACCCTGAGCTTCAGAGATAACTTGCCACTAACCTCTTCACTATAGCCTATCTTCACCGTGTCAAGTTACCTCTGACCACATTCGATAGCCTCCGCCGCCCGCCAATCAAATTTAAAGCCCGCACTCAATGACTCATTGAACGATCTATCCAATGAACGCGAACGAGTCAAAGCGCGCTTTGTTCAAATCTGGACCAATCAAAGATAAGGCTGAATATCAGGGACTTGCCGTAACCTGTGGGCAGCACGCAAAATACATCATCCCTCAGTAGATAATGATACAGGGCCTCAAACTGCTCTGGTTTCAATTCCGATATACTCATATTTTGCAAAGAATCAAGAGATAACTTAACACATTATTTTACGTAGTCACTCATAGGAGACGCCATGCTTTCTTTGTGTTTGGTTATGCACTCGGAACTACTCGGATGTCTCCGCACTCAACAATAACTTTGTTGTTAGTATGGAGCTTGCGGAATCAGCCAAGGATTGCCGATTAACGGTCAACCAATCAGCGTTTTCACCAAACTTTGGTGAAANGCCAATGAACGCGAATGAGTCAAAGTGCGCTTTGTTCAAATCTGGACCAATCAAAGATAAGGCTGAATATCAGGGACTTGCCGTAACCTGTGGGCAGCACGCAAAATACATCATCCCACAGTAGATAATGATGCAGGGCCTCAAACTGCTCTGGTTTGAATTCCGATATACTCATATTTTGCAAAGAATCAAGAGATAACTTAACACATTATTTTACGTAGTCATTCGTAGGAGACGCCATGCTTTCTTTGTGTATGGAACTACTCGGATGTCTCCGCACAAGACAATAACTTTGTTGTTAGTATGGAGCTTGCGGAATCAGACGAGGATTACCGATTGACGGTCAACCAATCAGCGTATTCACCAAACTTTGGTGAAAAATTTTGAAACTTGGATTCGATTGGCTTATATAAACTAGGTCAAACTATTTTCGTCAGAGGTAACTTGACACGATGAAGATAGGCTATAGTGAAGAGGTTAGTGGCAAGTTATCTCTGAAGCTCAGGGTGGATAAATGGTACAATTCCCGGGAATTAAACTCACGGTATAAAGATATGAAACACTGCATTACATATACTTTTCAACTTTCTATTAAAAGTAAAAACTGATGGGTATACTGAACTTACTTTCAGAATCTTCCCTGTCTACAGAACCTTCTGGCAACTTCTTGATGTAGTCTGGAATGTGCACAATTTATGAATGAGACATTCTTCTTGCTTGTGAGTAAAATGTATCACCAATATAATACTAGAAACATCAATACACAACAGTGACAAATCAATTTTTATGCTAGACAAGAACATCTTCTGAAAAACCATATCCTAGCACTTGATTAAAGTAATGAGATAGATTGAAAGTCATAGGAAAAACATAACAAAACTGTATTTGACTTTCTGAATTAATAATGAACTAGTGGATACATACCTTTGAGTAAAAGTTCATATCTAGGTACTCTTTGTATGGGCTCCAGCATGTGGTGTTGTAATGTTAGGAGACCGCACTCTGGGGTTTTCTTTAAAAAAATTTGTTAAATTTATAATATATTCTTAAATATTATAGAAACCCTTTTTATTGTCTGATTTAAAGGAGATAAAAAATAAAATTGGATACAAACTCTACTTTCAAACATTTCATTAAAAGTAATATTGCAAATTTCTTGAAAACTAAAAAGATGATATTTCTATGAAAATCAACAAAATAAACATTAAATTAACGAAAAATATCACACCGCTCAGGGTCCAAAACTGACCTGAATCTCATCAATAATTTCTGCAAACTTGGGACTTCTCTCCTTCCAGAAATTGATGGTCTGCATAGCATTGTCAAAGTTCTTCACATAATCTGAATAAAGTTTGAGAAATGGTGCCAAGCCCTTCAGTAAGTCACCAAGCTTTTGGATTTCACCCCTGAAAAAGAACAGCTTCAGTGAATGCAGCAACAGAGCACTGCAGGAAGGAAGAAGAATTAATTGCTATCCCTGATAAAGGGGGGAGGGGGAAGCAAAATTTTATTAATTCAAGTAAAATGCCCCTGGTATGTTGTTACATGTATGCCAGTCCTTTACACAAAAGGTATACTGAAAACATAATTATTTATTTAGAAAACTAATATGCTTACTTATAATAATAATAATAATAATAATAATAAATATGTTTAAATTTGCATTCCATGATTGATTCTTGAATAAGAATACATTGTAATAATAAATTCTGTATTTTAAATTACATCAAATTGTTTCATAAATAAAACTGTTTCTACAGTTTTCTTTTTTTCAACACTTTCTGAAAATAAAAACTCTGAAACTGACTGTGACTGAGCCCTTACCATTTTGACATTCTTTCCTCTAACTGTGGAAGCATGAAGTCAGCATGGAACTGGTATAAACTTTGGATATTGGAGAACATTTTACCAAGAACGTCATCTGGAAACATCTGATGCTTGTGATTCTCTGTGAGCACTCGGAAATGGAAGACCTGGAAAACAGATATATCTTACATCTTTCTCAAGCTAGCTAGCTCAATTTTCATTGCTGGTTAATTAAAATAATGGATCACCATCAAAATCTAACCAATAATAGTAATCCAATTTCTGACACATCCTGATAATTTCGTCAAAATCTGTTGATAACACAAAATGCAAAAAAATAATCTCCTAAGCAGATATAATGGAAGTCATTTATATTGTCTTTTAAATAACAAAAACAAGATTTAATTGAGGCTGTAAACACATTAAACATTTACTTGATAACTGATTCAATTCTTAAAATATATTTGTTGACTAATTCTTTCATTTTTTCATTTTAAGGTGTATGCTTTGCATAATGAAATCTTTTGGTTTAACTTCATTTCGTTTGACTGTATGAGAAATGAAAAGCTTTCGATTTTGATAAGCACACAGGTGTATAAACTCATGTGGCATAACACAAACATACATATGCACACACACGAACACACACACACACACACATACACACACACACACACATCTAACAGTTTCATGTACCTGATGCACCAGCCTTAATCTCTGCACATAGGCTCTCTCTGTGGTAAGCAATTCCATAGCTATCTTATATAACTTCTTCTCTGGAGTGTCTACTGTGGCTTCCTAGAACACAATATATAATGTTTGTTTATGGGACTTCCTCTTTTTAAAAGGCAAACTGGTCTTTTACACATCTACTTTTGTTTGAAGAAAATTTTTTAAAAAAATTCCACTAAATAAAGTGTTGCATGTTGTTACTTGCTTGATTTTTAAAGAATCCTCAGTATTTCACTCCATAGTACTTTTTTCATGTTAAGCTTAAAATTTTTAACAGTTTATCATTTTGTTTCATTTAAAGAATGCTATTTTCAGTTTTTATGTCAGGAACAGAGAACACTTACAACTTCCTCTTCAACATCGGGGACGATGAGTTCCTCATTTATTCCCTCATCCTCATCATCATCACTAAAACTACTATCATCCCACCAGTCGTCAAACTCATCGTATAATGACCGGCCAGTAGACAGCTCTCCCGATGACTCCACTTTTTTCAAATGTTCCTCAACTTCCTCGGAATCTTCAGATGTATTTCTATTATTCCCTTCCACATTTTTAGATTCCTCTGAATAATTAGATTTATTATAACATCCAGGCTGAACTGGAGACACTTTGTCATCGGTAGCATGATCACTGTGTCCATTTTCAATTACGACATTGTCATAAGGGTGGTCACTGTATGCAGAAACGCGGTCAGAACTGTGGCCGTTTTGACTAACATATGCACTTGAGTCACTAGGGGATTCTGGACTTTCTTTTTCATTAGATACCGCTGCGTGGCTAGCCTCGCTAGAACCGCTATGTTTTCGCCCTCTGCGCTTCACTGAGCGCCCTCTATTTATAGTCCTAGTTCGAGGCAAGTACGGAAAAGCTGGCACGGCATAAGTGGTCCCAGTTCCAGGACTTTTGTCTTTTTCATTATGTTGCACTTTCTTATCAGGTTCTTTATTCTTTGCATCGTCCTTGCCTTTTCCAGACATCAAATTTTTCAGGAAATTTGGTTTCTTGGGGACTAAAATAAGAATGTTCAGAAAGTACATAGTTTAACTTCACATCACATAACATACCTTCTCTCATTTTAGGGAACAAGAACAAAGACAGAAAAATTGCCTGAGAGCAAAATCATTTCATTTCTGAATTCTGTAAAAGTTTCCCCATTTTCATGCAATAAAACATTTGATTTTTAAATTTTTTTATGATGAAAAAGTATACCTTCCAATTTGAGGTACCTAGGATATATTCTAGTTGTCAAATTGCAAATATCAATACATACTCTGTGTAATGTTAAATATATTAAACTTTCTGAAGATTTTATGCTGTAGTTACTGATATCATAAACCCAAAGTTTCTTCAATGAGAATGTATATTGTCAAAAAGAACAGTTTCAGTCATTTTCTTTACAGATAATCTATGAAATTTACAATAATTAGAAAAGAAAAATCAGAAATTCTAGTTCTACTTTTCAACACTTTCTATTCAGTCAGTACCTTCTGGTTTTGGTAAGCCATATTTAGCAGCTGAGGGGAGCGACCTTGAGCGTCGTCTGCTCTCTTCTTCCTCAACCTTCATCCTGCCTTTCCTTTTGACCACCACTGCATACATGTCGTCTGCTGCATTTTTCTTTTTCTGTGAATTGTCTCCTTCCTTGTCCAGGTAAGCAGCACTCTTTTCTGTCATGACATAAGAAACTGTTGGTATTAGGAATAAATTTGGGAAGCCATTGATAGAATATTCCAGGAAATTCACAAATTTTGAACACGAAGACATTAAACTATAAATCATCCAAAAAAGTGGAATATTAAAAAAAAAATCTCATAAAACATTTACAATTTGCAGGCTCTAATTTATTCACCCCTAGATAAATAATATACATGTAAATATGAAAACTGCATGCATGGGCCATACCTATAACCAGCTGAATAAACTTAAAACACAAACACATCAAAATCACAACCAAGCTTAATATGAAATGTCAGTGAATCTTGACCACGTAACCACACAAGGAGCAAAAATAGATATATAAATAACAATTAAATATGTGCTCTCCCCTATCAGTTAACTTATTTATCAACCAGGTTAATTTTTATCCTGCCATATCTGTTAGTTCATGTCTATTTACTTCTAGACCAACATTCAAAGTCCAAAAAACCTTCTTAAAACACACCTTACAGAATGACGGGCACTTTACTATGTAAAGATATATGTACACATAAAAAAAGAACAACCTTGAATACAATGCATAAGACAAATCTTTGCTGGTCATTGTCCTTCTTCTTTCTCACAATTTGCTTTAAGGTAGGTTTTCTCTTCATGATTTCAATGAAAAAGCACTACGCCGTATGCATGTGCTTTCTCTGTGTGTATTCAACTTCAAAAAAAAAAAATAAATAAATAAATAAAAAATAAGTGCTAGCCTCTCTACATGAGACATAAGACTGATGCATTATATTCAAGGTAACTCCCACACTGCTTAAAACACACAATAAGCTTTGCAAGCTGAAAAACATTTATGTACTAGTAAGTCACGCCGACAGCTTCAGTACATAATCACAGTATATAAAAACTGAATAATAACCAAGTCTAATGGGTTTTGAAAAGAATATCCTACTTCCAATCTTAAGAAAGGTTGTTCTATGGGCAATGCATCTTCCTGATATTGGGTTTCAAAGCCATGAAATATTACATACTACTTGTTGCTTTTACAGTAAGAAAATTGTGTTTGGTTCTGCCTTAATCTAGCAAAATGTTTTAAGTTTCCAATCAAGAGAGCAATTTTTCTAAATAACTGTTTATTAGGATCAGTACAAGTACACTTCACACTTGATTACAGCTGAAAAACAAATCATGTAGGTCTTGTCCACACAAACACACACACACACACACACACACACACACACACACATGAGAATAACACCAGTCTTCCAATTCATCCCTATAAAAGTTCACCTAGCTCTTATACAGCCATAAAGTAGTAATAAAGTAGTAATAAATAAATTTCAGTCATATAATCTTGACAGCCAAGATCCACATTATACTTGCACAAATTACCTTTTATCATGCCAAAGTAGAATAATTATAAAATTTACATTATCACGCCCCCTTTTTGTACATGACACCATTGGTCTTTGTAGATCGACCCAATTCTGCGAGGACTCTCACTGAAAGCAATCAGCTTAATGCAGGGACTCTCACTGAAAGCAATCAGCTTAAATGAACAACAAGCCTCCTCCTGGCATTAAGAACAATGAATAAAAGCTGGTGATTATATCAGCACACTGGAAACAACAGGGGGGCGTGTCATTAAGTTAAGCTGATTGCACTTAGCGAGAGCCCCAACAGAGTTGGGTCGATCTAAGTAGAACAATGGTGTCAATGGGAATGGGGTCTTATAAAGTGCATCATAAAGAACGCCCACCATGTTTGATATTTTTGTCTCAACTGCTAAGATAAGACTCATATGAGACAAGGAGTATAAGGCATTAAAATAAACACGCCCTTAAGTTCTGTCAATAAAATTAGTTTTTAGAAGAAACAAGCACTGCAAAATATGGCATGCACAATAAATGGCATGACATGCAATGTAAAGTATAATTCAATTTGTCCAAATAGCCCCAGTTTGATCCTAAGCAATTGGAAAAAAATGACCTTAACTGCACATTTGACCTTGCTTAAAAACTGCTTTGAAAAATTATCATTTAAGTAACACTAAGATCCCATTCCCAGAGATCAGATCGATCCAAACTAGATCCACCTAACTCCCTGGGGGTTCACGCTAAATAGCTGTCAGCCGAGCGGGCACGAAAGTTAATTACCCCCTTACAGCTTGTAGTAGGCGGGTCGGACATTCAAGCCGGATTATCTGACAGTAATCTAGTGAGACTCCCCACGGGGATAGATCAATCTAAATGTCTGGGAATACGCCCTAAGTCACTAAAAATTCTTCAGAATATTTACCTTTCCTAAAAGCCATCCTTAGCTTAAAGAATCAGTCCAGGACTGGAAGGTACATCTCATTTTTTCACTTCCTCGTTCTTTTAACAATGATTTTCTATGTATGTCAAGTAGGGCTTTATATCTGATTATATGCAGTGTTAAATGTTAACCAGGATAACTTGCAAAACCACACATAACCAACATACTAGTACTCAACAATACAAAAGTCCTTACCACAGATGGGCTTCAGATTTCAGAGCACTAACAATAGGATATTATCATTGTTGCCATGTAGAAGTTTGATATATATATATATATATATATATATATATATATATATATATATATATATATATATATATATATATAAACTGTGTGTGTGTGTGTGAAATGTGCAAGGCACTTGAGACAAAATTGCATGAGAAAAATTATCTCTTTTGGTTACTACATTTAACAAATATAAAAGAAACTAAAGTCAAAATCCAATTCAAAATTGATTACTAGTACATTCAATCTGTTGTGCCAATTAGGAAGTACTATACTGTAAATAGTTTGATAGCTAAAATGTTTGACAGAATGATAAAACAACAAATAATCATTATTATCATCTGATTTCTTTATCAATGTCTTCCTGCTTCAAGCACCCTCTTTCAAATACATAAAGTCTTAGATCTATATGCAAATAGAAACTCAACTTCAACTGACATTAACTTTACAAATCCGTTAGTCAATAAAAACAAAATCTTCCTGCTAGAATATTGTGACAGATTTGTCTTTTAATTTAAAAAAATGCGTAGATCTATAATTTACAGTTGTCACTGCACAATACCCTGCATATAAAATATTACAGGAAACTAACCTGTGTTACCAACAGAGGTCAGTTATCTCTGATATTCAGGGTGAATGTATTCTGACCTAGGGAATTGTATCAGAATGCGTCAGTTGAGACAAAGGCTGAGCTTAATTGTGTTGGTATCAAAAAGAAAGAAAGAAAGAAAGAAAAATACTTCAACTTGATCACTTATTTTAAGAAATACCTTCGGCATGCACTTAATTGTGTTTACATCAAATATAAATGAATAGATAAATAAACAAACAAACAAATAAATAAGTAAAAATATTTAACCTGATCACTTACTTTAAGAAATATATTTGGCATGAGCATAATTGTGTTTGTATCAAGAATAAATACATAAGTAAAAAAACTTCATGAACTCAATCACTTATTTAAAGAAATACTTTTGGCATGCTGTTAATGTGATATCTGCCTATGCAAATATTTTATTTGCCTATCTATACATTTATTTTTCACCTCTATAAGGTAGCTACTAAAAATCAGGATCCAAGATCCAGTACTGAGATCACTAAAATGCCCTAAAATGATATGCCACATGCCACCTGATTGTAATGCAACTCTGAACTTTTTAGAATTAAGATAACATCCTTAATGTCCATGATGTAGAAAGTGTGAGAACACATTTTGCTCTACATTCATTATATAAATGGTCCTTGTATGCATTTACATAACATGAGCTCTACATGTAAATACTATGAATGAGTCTAGATCAATCCCGTAACTATGTTTAAAGTTATAAACCCTTATGCAGTCTTGTTTATTAAAGAAAGTCTGGTTCTTATATATACCACCTTCCACTATGTTTCAGTTTGGAAATCAATATGCCTGTCATAGGTTTTTCATAAATTTTTTTTTCACGACTCATTCTGGTTGTAGATGTGCTTGTCTCCCAGGGGATGATACATTAAGGAGAGTCCCACTGGGTATTTACTTTACCTGTGAAAACCACTTTTTATTTCCCAAGATGTGTGAAATATTTATATCATTTAGTACACATATGATCCCTGAAGAACTACGTACCCATGACATGTGGATAAATGTAGCTTTTTAATCCTCGTCATTTGTGAAACAAAATCATTAAACTTGGCGATTTGTGATTTTCCACTGGTACTTCCTGCATTTTCAAAGAAACTTTTTTACTGCTATTTGTGAATTGATGATTTTATTTTCAGTGAACTGTGTATACTCTCCCCCCTCCAAATGGACCCTCAATAATTGTTATTCCAGATCTAAGTTTGTATGGAGTTCCAACCAGTAAGCTTGCTTAAATATACATGCCTGAACTTTTCTGTTATGAATTTTTTTATTCTCTTTGAGTATTTTTGTCAGAAAAGAGGGGAAAAATCAGCAAACATCTGCAGACCATGTGTGCACTGCGCTGACAGAAGAAGACGTGTATATGATGATCTAATTGAGATTCTCAGCATGAATTACGTTCAGTTAAATCCTGCCTGGTAGCTTCTTTTCCTTCCTCACAGTGGCAAGGCAACTTCAGCTTTTAACTATATGCCAGGCTAGCTCATTTATCATTCTGCTTCCTCTTCTGTGGAAAAACTTCAAATCAATTTAGGCCAAATAAGTGGCAAGTTGAATATAAGAATAATACCTGCTTTTTCATTAATGGATAAAAAATAAAAAGTATCTGGAAAAATTGTTTGCTACATAGATTATGAATAACTTCCTCAATTTGGGGAATCTTATCACTGGCTTTTTTTCTGTATTAGAAAATACAAACACATTTCTTATTGCAGATAACCCAAAATTTCTTACCAGGTACATTAATTAGAATCAGATTAAATTTATACCACACAACTTAAGTCCATGGTTCTTTCTTTCCTGTATTTATGCATAAGATAAACTAAAAGCCAAATGGACTGGTTTTAATGCCTCATGCTCTTATCTCAGATAGTTTCAAGGGTCCAGGACTTCATAAGAGCTGTGCTTAACCTATAGATAGGAAGCAGCCATAAAGTGAATGGGAAGCTTTGGTGAAAATGTACAGACAATAAGGTCACAAGAAAAATGTCCTTAAATTTAATACTCTGAAACAGTGTACTAGTAATAGGGTTTTATCTTCTGAGTGACATAATTTCCTTGAAATTCACAATCTGTCATTCTTTCACATTCTACATTGAAAGGAAAACCAGTCATTAAAGGTATACTGTGATGAAAAAACGGGTTCAAACTAGCCTTTACAGTAGGTGACCAAAAGTCATTATTGAGTAATGAAAAGATTTTTTTTTTGTTTTATTAGTTATTAAGCCGATTTCCATATCCAGATGTATCTACAGTAACCAGATTGACCATCTCCCAGGAGATTCTGGCTAAATTGAATTCAGCTTAAGCAGCTTAGATGTCTGGCACACCTACTGAAGCTGCTCAATGATATAAAATTACCCCCTAACAGCTTCAGTGGGCATACCAGACATCAGAGCTGCTTAAGCTATATGCAATTTAGCAAGAAACCCCTCAGAGATGAGTTGATCCTGCTAGATCAATCTGGGAACAGGGTCTAAGCATTCAGTTTGAGTCCTCAAGTGTTGATACATACGGTAGCATGCACACTGACATCACACAG